AAAGAATCTTATATTAGATTTAAATTAATATAATTAAATTTTATTTTCGATTGATTAAAAAATAATGTTGAGCTTAAAAAAATTAGTAATTGAAAATGTATATATTATTTCTAATATAAACAATAAAAATATATAAATTAGTAATATATAATAAGTAATAATTAATAGATTATTTATTGGTAATATTTAAAGTTCTGATAATAATATAAGATAAAATATAGGATAAAATCAAAAATATAAAATAAACGGAAAATATGCACTATTTTTATTTAATAATATTCAAAATGTTATAATTGAAGAACTTGAATTATAAAATATTGAATTAATAGAAAGTGGTATATTTGAATTTAATAATGTAAAGAATATACATATAAGTAATTTAAAAATACAATAAATATATACTAATATTGAATAAAATGAATTTGATAAAAATAAAATATTTTCTATTAATAATTGTTAAAATATAGTATTATAATCATTATTTATATAAGATATCTAAATTAATTAATTTACTATATTGGATTTTTACTAAGTGGATGAAATATATTTTGAAAGCCTTATAATTTAAAATATTAAAATAAAATATATATTAAAGAATATCTAAAACTTATAATAATCTTTTAAATAATAATTATTCTAATAAGTATAAACGAATTCCTTAGATTATAATATAGAAAATTAACTTATTAAATATAGGGGATTAATATAAACATAAGACATTAAATACCTATCAATTAATAATGTTTAAATATCTTAAATTAATTTTGATTCTTTAAATTATTCTGTATTTAGATATTTTAATATTGATAATATTGATATTTAATATGTAGTTATAATAAATATTTATGATATAACTATTGATAAATAGACTAATAGTATAATGTCTAGTTGTGGATTTGATTAAATGAATATCGATAATATTGTATTTAAATAAAATGAAATATAGTTTTTATTCACTTATAAATATACATATAATTTTAAATATCTTGCTAATGGGATATATGTAGCAATTAAAAAAAGTGTTTTTTATAAAATAATCTAGTTAATAGTATCTTTAGTATATAATCAGATAATTTAATACTAGATGATAATGTATTTAAAAATAATTAATAAAAATCAATATTAAATGGAAGTATTATTAATAGTATAAATGCCTTTTTAATATATATTAACAATTGTGTTTTTTAAGAAAATATAGGAGAAAACGGCGGGTTATTTTATATAGATAATTGTAAGAATTTACTTATTAATTAATCTTAAATAATTAATAATTAAGCTATTATAAAAGGAGGGGTATTATATGGAATAAATGTAGAAAAAGTTTATTTATTGAAATCTTAATTTACTAATAATTAGGCTTTATAAGAAAGCGGCGGAGTCTTTTATTTAGAAAATTCAACTATATAAGAGTGTATATAAAACAATTTCTAAAAAAATAAAGCCTTAATGAATTCTGGGGGAGTCTTTTATTTAGATAATTCTGATTTTATTATAAATAAAAATAATATTTATTAACAAAATTAAGCCTAAGTAGGTGGTATAATGAGATATATTAATAAATTTCCATAATTTATAGGTGATAGACTATAAAAGAAAGATATTGATAACGAATATTTTCGAAACGTAGGATATTTATATGGAACAAACTACTGCTCATACCCATAATTAATAATCGCCTAGAATAAGTAAAGTGAAGCGATAGCTTTAATAAAAGAAAACCATAAAACAGGAAAACTATAAGCATTCAACTAATATGATCCAAACTAACCCTTTTAAATAAAAGACTAATAAAGTGGTGGTAAAATATCGGAAAAGATGAGATTTAGGCTAATAGATGAGGAAAAACGAGAAATTAGATTCCCTTTAGAAAATATAAAGATATCATAAAATTTAAGACAGGAATTCTAATAAATGAATTTGAAAGTATAATCTACAAATGATTTTAACTATAATGGAAATTTAATTTAATCTTTTAATTATTAAGATTATGCCTTTGTTTTCGATTTCTATATAAGTGTAAAACCTAAAAAAAACATAACATTAGTGATATAAACTACTTAATTGTTTCCTAAGATAAATTTAGAAAAAAAAGATTTTGAAAATTCCTATTTATAAATTAAAGCCTAAATTTTCTTTAGAGAATGTATTTAAGGAGAAGTCATTATTGAGGAAGCTTCAACTTTAAAATGTTTTAAATGTCCTTAAGGTTTTAAATATAAATATTTAAATAATATATATATATATATATATATAATATATATATATATATATATATATATATATATATATATTTATAGGAAAATATAGCTTTTAAACATAAAACTTAGAATAACATTAATGTTTAACATGTCCTATAGAAGCCTTAAAATGCATGGAAAACTTCGTTTTATTAAAATAAGGATATTGGAAATCATATATATATTCCGAGGATATATTTTATTGTAAAAACGCCCCTTAAAATTGCATTATTAGTAAAGACTAGAAAAAAAATGAATGTATAGAAGGTACTACAGGTCCTTTATGTCAATCTTGTGATGTATATGGCTTTTATTGGGGTGATAAATATGGTTATAATTAAAATTATACATGTACTAAATGCATTTAATATTATAGTATAATCAATATAATTATAATTATTCTAATATTATTATGCTTATCGGTTTATTTACTCTATTAAATAAAACGATAATTATATTTTAGTGAAAAGCTTATTTTATGTTAATATTTGAGAAAATCCAACTTTATATTGATGGGAAAAAGTGCTATTATAGACGAAGGGGCTATATATACTAAAATATTTATAAATCATTTATAGATAGTAATGATTATTAGATCCTTTTAGATAAATATGCCTGCTTTTATTAATTTTTTTGATATAGTAGGCGGTGATCCTTTATAATTAACACTTTATAATTTAGATTGTTTTTTTAATAAGTTTACTTATGTCCCTGTATATATATAGAGATTGATTACAGTTATATTAACTCCTGTATGCTTAATTATAATGCTTTATATTATGATTAAACTTTAGAGGGTTAAAAATCATTTATCAATAAATAAAAACTAGATTATTTTCGTCTTTGTTTTTTTTTATTTATTCTTCGAACCTTCCATCCTATAAAAATTAAGTTCATCAATAACTTGTAGTACTTTCGGTTCTTAAAGATACATTTAAGCCGATTTAACTAATATTTGTTATACTAAAATACATTTGTTTTATACTTTAATACTAATTTTACCTCTTATATTGATAATTCTTTTTATTATTCCACTAATTGCTTTAAGGTATATGTTCAAAAATAAAAGTAAACTAAACAAGTCTTGTATAAGGATAATGTTCGGGTATATATTCTAAGAATATAAATAGGAGATTTTCTATTGGGAATTCGTTAAATTTTATATGAAATCATTCATTATGATAGCCTTGAATATTTATTAGGAAAGTACACTATTAAAAGGACTTATTATTTCTATTACTTTATTCATATATTTGCTTTTAGCTAATAAATATAAACCATACTAGTAATAAATTTTAAACTATATGGATACTTTGAGTACTTCTTTAATTTTATTATCAATTAATTTAGCTTTATTAAATATTTCGAGTGATAATAACTTTATTTAATTTATTTCAATTAGTGCTATATATGTAATAAATCTATATTTTGTAATTAAGAGTATTAGATATTTATTTATTAAATAAATACCTTATTTAGAATAAGATAGGAATATAATTCATAAAATATTGTTTTTTTTGAAAAATAAATTTGCGAAAATTTTTCATTTTATTAATGTTGCGCCTAAAGATAATTATAATGTTTTCAGAAATTGGAAAAAACTTAAAATAGTAGTCAAAAAATATTTCAATTAAAAATAAATAATGAATGTTACAGAAAAAAAATTAATTGATGCTTTTAAAACATAGTCTATGACTTTTAGTTTAGAATAATAACAAAACAAAATTTTAATTTAGAAAAAATAAAGCTAATAGTCTAAAATATCATAGTTATGTTATATAAAATAATAAGGTAATCATAAAATAAATAATCTTTAGTTTTTTTTTAAACAAAAAAAATAAACAAATAAATAAAAAAAAGAATAAATGGAAAAAAAAGGATTGGAATTAGTTAATAATAATGTAATCAAAGAATAAAAAAAAGAATGAAATAAAATAAATAAGAAATTATCTTTTTTTTATATATATATTTCTTATAAAAAAGATTACATATATATTTTATTAAGAAAAAAAAAAATATATATAAATAATTCGTCAATTAATACTAATTATTATATATTTATATTTATACTTTTCGATTTAATTTTTATAATTATAAAATTATATATTTAAAGATATTTAGGTAATATATATATTTTATATAAATGATTTATTAAATTTTTTTTATTTTCTTTAATAATATATTAAAAATATTTTTAAAATATTAATATATTATTTTATAAATAAATATTTTTATTAGTTTTTAAAAAAAATAATGTTATAAAATGTATATATTGTAAAAAAATCTTTTTAATAATATATATATATATATATATATATATATATATATATATATATATTTATATATATATATTATGTAATATATTATTAATTAACTATTAATATAATTATTATTTTTTTTTTAAATATATGTTTAATTTTATATATATATAATTTTTAATATTTTTATATTATATATTTTCATATGTTTTATAATTTTATAATATAATATAAATGTTTTATTTATTGATTTAATTTCGTAAATATTTTTCCCTATTATTTTATCATTTATATTTATACAATTTTTTTTTAATTATTAGTATTAATAATAAATATTTATACTTAATTTATAAATTATTATTTTATATTTAACTTTTTTTTATATTTAATATTTATAATTTTAATTTTTTATTTAAAATAATTATTTAACTCTTTTTATTGTTTTTAAAATAAATTTAATATAAAAAATATTAAATGCTAAGAAAAATTATAGAAAAAAAAAATATCAATTATTAATCATCTATTTTTAAATACTTTCATAGTCTTAATTTACTTTTACTAAAGCATCTTTATTTTTTATTCTAAAATATATCGTATACCCTAATGTTCCCAAAAACAAAATAGAAAATATTACCATTAGACTAATTGACCATACCGGTACATAACTTTAATCATTTGAACTTCTAGCTTTAATTTTACATTATTTTTCAAAATCATTCACCGAATATTAATCAATATATTAAGCGAAATCTTCAAAAGGTATAATTTTTTGATTTTTTTTAATTATATCAATATACTGTCCATTATATTTAGTCATTACATAAAATTTCTTATTATCATTTTTATCAACCCTTAACTCGAAAATATAAGAAGCTGCATATTCAGGATATTAAGTTATACATATTACATCTTCTTTTAATGTATTTTCCTTTGTTTTTTATAAACATTCCCAACTAGTTTATTTGAAAGTATTTAATAGAGTAAGAATATTTAAATCATGAGCCGAAATCATATACCATTTATAACTTTATTGCCCTTATATTTTCCCGTTCATATACTCCTTTATTTTCTACAGAAATTTAGTGGAAGTTAGTCGTCTTTATGCTTCTTTATAAAAATAAGTGATTTATATATTAATATTATATAAAAATTATAAATCATTATATATATCTTTTAATGGTTCAATAATATTATTAAATCCTTAGTATTTTAAAGAAATTAAAGTATCGAAAAAATGATTATAGGTATCAGTTCCGAATTAATCATATTATATATTTTTATTTTAAGTTTTTAGGTAATCACTAAATTATGTTAAACTAATATTTTTTTTTATTTTTTATTTTTTTTTATAAAATAAACTAAAAAAATTACGAAGGTCTAAATTATTCTCTTACTTTTTTCCAATCTGTATTATTTTAGTATTCATTTTACCAATTTTAAGCTTATGGGCAGGCATTACCATGACTAAATAATATTTAATCGTCTTCTTGCGCATTCATATGTATTGCAAATGGTTATTATCCACCAAAAAGCGAATAATCGCCATTTATTTATTAAACTCGTTCATTAAAAGCAGGTTCTAGTTCAAATCTTGATTAGCTTAAATTACTAAAGATTTTTGGTCCAGTATTTAAACTATAAAGTCCTGCTAATTAACTATATGCTGACATAATAGTTCTTTTTTTAATAAAATATATTTTATTAAAAAAAAGTAAATAAACTGTACCTATTAAAATCTGTTGATTATATAAACATCTAATTATAATCATAAGAAGAATTCAAAAAATTTTATTTTTATATATATTCAGCATTTAAGGCTTTCCCAAGCATAAACTGTTATCTCATTCCTACTGGAGTTAATTCACCGGTTAATTAGGTGTTTATTTTTGGACCAAATGTATCTTAAAATATAGAGTATCTGGCTCCATGTCTGAAAACTTCAATTACTAATTTTAAATCAGTTGTTTCCGGGGAAGGTTGTGTATTTATTTTTATTAAAAAATATAAAAAATATAATAGGATTAAATGTTTGAACATATTTTTATTTTTTATTAAAAAAAAAGAATAAAAATTATATATATATGTATTTTATTTTTGTATTTATTTTTATTTATACAAAAAAAAAAAATTATTTATTAAGATTTTTTTACAAATACTCTTTTTTTTTTTTGTAAAAAAAAATAAATAAATAAAATAAAATATAAATAAATATATAAAGCATTAATATAATATTTTTGTTTTTTTGTTTTTTTTTTTTTTCGGTTTGTCAATTAATAAATAGGTAATTTTATTGTTATTATTAAGTATTCATTAATATCATTTTTATTATTAAAATTAATTATAAAAATAATTTTAAACTCTAGATTCAACAGAACTAAAATTGGAAAGTAATTTTTTAGAATTATCGCTTTAATCAGTATAATAATTTTCATATTTTTAATTTAATATATTAAGAGTTTTTTAAATGTTTTTTATTTATTTGTAAACATCTTGCAATTCTTAAATATCATCATTATTTTTTTATATTGTTTATATTAAATCCATATTTTATTTCAATATAATGAATATTAAACGAAAATATAAATATGTATATTTATATATTTTTTAATTTTTATTAAAAAATTATATATAATATATAAAAATATAATATTTTACATATTTTTAATATATATAATAAAAAAAACTAATATATTTATATATATTATTATTATTCAATATTATTTAAATTAGCTGTTCTGAAATTTTTTTTTTTATTTATATAATATATACACTTTTTATATATATTATATATTTATATTAAAAAATATACTTAACAAAAGCATACAAAAAAAAATTTTATTTGATTAATAAACTAAAATTAATTATTTATAATATTTTTTTATTCATTTTTTTTTATTTTTTAAATATATAATAAACTTTTTTTTTTTTAAATAATTTTTCATTAAATATTATAAATTTAATAATATTTTTTTACATAAACTATTATATTTTTTTATTCTTTAATTTTTATTAATTTTCTTTTTTACAATACTTCTTTAATTATTTAATATCATTATATTTATTTGTAATTTTATATATAATACTGTTTTACTATTTTTTTGAATTAAAATATATGACTTTAAAACCTAGTTATTCTAGTTACACCTATAAATTTTGTTAAAATATAGATATTAATTTTCTAAAAAATTAACAAAAAACTATATTTTTAAAAAATGTTTATAATATTATATTTAACTAAAATAAATATATATTATTATAATTTTTAAATATTTATTTTTTTAAGAATATCTTAAAAAGAAAATTTATTTTTTTAAATTAAGAAATAGATTATTATAAACATCGCATATAAATTTTTTAGTTTTAGTAATATAAAATCAATAATTTTATTTACATTCTTATATTTTTTAATTGTATAGAAATTAAAAAAATTTTATTAATAATGTAAATAAGAAAAAATATGTATTTACATAAATAATAAAATATAAATAATTATATAAAATATTATATAAATGTATTAATAAATATTATTTTTTTAAATATAAATATATTTTTTATTATTACTTTTTTTATATTAAAATAAATATATATATTATTATTTTTAAACAATTTTTTTTTTATTATTAAATACATGTAATTATTTTATATATATTCATATTTAAATATTAAAGATAAATAAATAATATTTAAATAATAAAAATAGTAATTTAAATACTATAATAATAATTCAATTTTAAATAACATATTTTTAATTTAATAAATAAAAAAGTTATAAGTTTATCTGAAAAATATTTATTTATATATATATATATATATATTTAATTATAATAACACATATATATATATATAATTTATATTAATTTATAT